ACCGACGCCAGCAAAAAATAATCTAGCGTCGCTTTTCTCCAGTGGCTCAAGGCCTCCGTGCCCCCACAAGTCCCGGCGCTCCCTGAATTGCGCCAACCCTCCTGGCGCCGCTCGTGAGAATAATCGCTATATAAACCGGGCGACCCCCGAAACGAAAATCCCAAGCCACATCCATCTCGACAACCACTTGCCACCAACACTACTACACAGATACACATTCGATACTATCTGAAACACCTTTGGAAACAACCCTTTGGGGGTTTCACCACCCGTCTGCGATGTACTTCACCGAATCTGCCCAGTGGAAAGCTTACCAATTCTCAGACCCCTTCAGTCTGAACCTGTTCTGTGTGTGCAACAAGATGTCGCTGGTGTTCTGCCGCCCCGACTGCGACGCCCGCCCCATCACCACCCTCAAACTGGAGGTCAAGTTTGTCCCCAGCGCCCAGGAAGCGCTCTCGCTCGGGTTCCACCCCTGCGAGCTGTGCGACCCTGTCAACGCCCCCGTCGTCGACGTTGGCCTTTTGATCAAGTGCGTGGCGCTGATCAACGACCAGTTGGGCTTTTGCCCTCCCTTGTTGGACGACAATGAGGAGCGCAACAATCAGCAGATTAAGCGCACCATTTTGGAGGGCGCCCGCGCCCACGGCGGCGAGGTCAAGCGCCGCATGCTGATGCTGCTGTACGGCGACCGCGACTTGGAGCTGACGCTGTTACTGAAGAACGACCTGGACCACTACCGCCTCGTCGACTTGGCCTGCCGCCACTTGGCGCTCGCGGCGGCGATGAACTACTTCCACATTCCCCTGCCGCGGCCGCTGCCGGCGCTGCCCGACGACGGCAAGGACGGGCGCAAGCGCCGCCGCCGCGGCGGTGTCCTTGGGTTCAAAGAGCTCGCTGCCAAGCTGAAGCTTTCGGCGTGGCACTTCCACCGCGTGTTTAAGTCCGTCACCGGCTTAACCCCCAAGACTTATGGCGATAAGTGCTGGGATTTCTTCAAGAACTACCGCGCCGACGAGCTGTCGCCCGTCCCCTCGCGGATGGCGCCGATCGCGGCGCCCCCCTTGTACGACGTCGACTCGGTGTCGGCGCTGCCGGAACTGCCCCGCAAGCGGGTCAAGCTTGAACCCCACCCGATGCACTTGGCGCAGCCGCTGATGGTGTTTGGCCAGGTCGACGGCGCCATGTTGTTTGCCGCCCCCGAGATGCCGGCGCCGCTGGCGCTGCTGGCGCTGTTGGCGCTGCTGACGGCGCTGATCCCGGCGCCGGAGCCCTCGGATCTCGACCACATGGCGCTGTACCAGTTCCCCACCCTGCGCCACTTTGACCTCAACTTGCTGGATAACCTCATGTTGTTCCCGCTGGAACACCTGCGCCTGGCGCTGATGCCCGAGGCCGACACCCAGGCGGCGTTGGACCTGCTGCCGATGATGGCGATGGCGGCGCCCCCGCAGCCGATGGGCGACTTGCCCTCGGTACAGGTGCCCCTCATGGACGAGTTCCTGATGGACATGTTCTCGTTGGACCCCGTGCTGATGGAGGTGCCCGACCTCGACGATTTCAACCCCAACATCGCCATGGGGTTCCCGGAATTGACTACTTTTACTTCATAATCTGACGACGTTACGACTAATGCTATCATTAATGGGTTTTATAGACACAATACAGGATCAATTGTCTACAATAACACTGTAAACATTCATTAAGTATGGGCGCCAGCCCATACCAACGAACAGGACTGTAAACATCCCCTCAGTATGGGTTTTTCCGCCCATACTAAACCCCGTCTTCTTTCACTCCGTTTCCTACAGTTTCCGAGTCGGGATGGCCGGTTATTGGTTGGAATCCGTTGCCGATGACTCAGGGTGACTCAAACCTGCCACCACTGCCTCGAGCCGTCGGAACCTGATCGTGGTAGTCAACCCCCGGTAGCCGCGGGTGTCACGTTCACCTGGGTCGCTGGGCGGCTGGCTTAGTCAGCGCGCACCGTGCATTACACATGTGGCACCGGATGCTTCCAGAAATCCCGGCCCGCCCGAGGCCCCATCGCCCTCGTAGACGGCTCTCTCCCTTGACCCCTAGCTCTGCCTCATCGCCAGCAGCACTGCCTCACTCGTCAGCCTAGTTCCCCTCTCTACTCACCCCTCATCCCTTATTTCTTTATCCCCTATCCCCTCATCGTATCCGCCATTGACTCTCCCCCCTCAGGGTGCGATTGGTAAACAAACAATTTCACCTCGAGGCATAGAAGGAAATCCGCCAGAAGACCCACGGGTCGGCGCCTCAGGCATTCTTCGCTGCCTGCCGCTTGGAAATAACGTAGGGCGCAGCTGGAGAAAATTCGTAACCCCGGGGGCAGCGACGATCGCCTTCCCCCAGGTGTTTATGGGTAGTGCTTCCGACGGGGCCGATGCCGGGCATCGCCTCCACCGCCCGAGAGATGGCCCAAGAGACTATGGCCTAGAGAGACTACGCCCTGCATTGACATTGCACCAAGGGGGTGGATTGATCGTAGCATAGGCTGATAGTAGCATAGGCCCTTATGATCTCTGGTCGTCCGCACGCATTTAGATAATCGGACATCTCCCTGCTGCAACTGGCGAGGTTAGCGGTCATGGCGTCGTTTTTTTTTTCGCTCAGGGTGAGGCGGGGATGGCGTCACGTACATCTCGATCGGGAACCCTCCCCTCAAGGTGCGAAAAAAAAAAAAAAAACAATAACCCGCTGGCGCTATCGCTGTGATCAACACCCACCCCTGTCGCCGTCAATTGGCAGCGACACCGCCCCCACCCCCACGCCAGCATCGGCACCACCTCGCACACCCCGTTTTTCCCCACACAATTGGCATTCTTCCCCTCATTCTCTAACTCTAAATTTCCCTCAATGGCGCCACTGGCGGTGGGGCCACTCGCACACACAACCGCCCCCCGGCGAGCCGCTGGGACTATCGCCCCATTGGGCAGGCGCCCTTCGCTCAATGGTACTGCAGCCTGCGTCATGCCCGCCGAGCGTGAAATTCAGGGAACATCCCCCATCGAAGCATTGTCCTCCCCCCCCTCCCCAC